TTTCTTTTACTTCCAATTTTTTTTCTTTCATTTAATGTTTGAATATTACTTTTTGATCAACTCGTTTGACTCCATTGTTTGTTTGTTTGGTATGGTAAATTGAACTTGGGACCTTGCCAGCCAGGTGCTTGTGCCACTGAGCTATGTCCCTGGCCCTTGACTCCTTTGGATAATGAAGCTTATATTATACTATATTATATTATATTATATTATATTATATTATATTCTGTTTTCTAATTGCCATTGTTGCTGTGGTCTTTGCCATCTAAGCTTTCAGATTTCTTTTCTTCAGTGCTAGGGATTTAACCTAAGGCCTTGTGTATGCTACTGAGGTATTCCCTGGTTCATCATATTTTATTGGTCTTTCTTCATGGATCTAATTTTTAAAAATAATATTTATTGTATTGTTTTTATATTTCTGTATCATACGTATTTCTGTGTCATTTGTATTATCAACTTTGGTTTCTTTTGTGAATTCTGCCAGCTTACTTTCACTATTGTCACCATTTCTTTTTTAATTTACATCCTTTCTAATCAAGTTTTCCCTTTCTGATAGTTTTCCCTACTTTAATTTCTCGATCATGTTGAGTATATCAATCGGCTTTGCTGTACCTGGGCACAGTATCCAACACCCACAATTTAAAGGAGGAGATGTGTAATTTGGCTCATATTTGGAGGGGATTCAGTTGGTGGTTGGCTGGCTCCAAGGCTTCATTGTCCCCGCAGAAGAGCCAAGGAGAGTAAAGCTGCTTAGTTCAACACAGCTGGGAAGCAGGGCAGGGGCCCAGTGCCAGACAGAGAGGAAGGGGTGAGGGACCGGCTACAGTGCCAACATCACACCTCTACAGTCTACGCAGGCATGCAGAAGTGTGCTCTAACTGTCCTCTGGGTGACTCCCAAACCAATCAGGTCGATGTAATCAAGCAACACCATCTCAAAGAGTATTAATTCTTGTGTTGTTTCCTTGTTATTTCTTCTGATAGGTATTTTTAAAAGTTTTTTGTTTTTGCCCTTTGATCCAAACAGTTATGCAAGTGGTAAATTACACACACTGTGATTTCATGGTCAGATGTGGTACTTAGAAAATCTTTATGCGATGACAGCTAATACCTAGATGAGAGAAATAGAAATCTGACATTAACAGTAGGGAGATTGGATAAGAATGATGAAAGAGATGCAGGGTGGTGACTTCCTCATGTAAGATGAAAGTTGGTGTGGGGATGTGATGCTCTGGATTGGTAGGGGAGAAAAGACTAGTGTGAAAAGTGCAACTGAGTTATGTGTTATGACCCACTCTTACACCTCACCTGAATTACCCCTTTATGCAAGAAAAGCTCTAGGGATGTGCATACTAACATCAAATATATCTTCACTTCAAATGGGAAAATTATTAATCTTTCCTAAGTTGCTCCCACTGTGAAGGCTTTCTTACTTATGTCTTATGGGCTCTACAAATGTCTAATAAAAATTAAACAAAAACTATGGATATTAAAAGTAAGAAACAGTCTCTACCTCCTCCCAAGCCTCAAACTCTTCTTCAGAAGTGATTATTGTTCGACATCTCGATGTGTCTCCTTATTGATATTTTTTATGTACTTTTATTTGTAAGAATTCCTAATACCAAGAATCAACACATGGGGATCACATCAAATTAAAAAGCCTTTGCACAGTAAAAAGGAATCACCGACCAAGTGAAGAGACAATCCATAGAATGCAGAAAAATTTTTACCAGTTGTTTCTCAAAGAACTAATATCTAGAATATATAAAGAACTCAAAAAAACTAGAACCCCTAATTTAAAGACCCAGTTAAAACTGGGCACCTAAAATGAATAGACACTTTTCAGATGAAGAGAAGCAAATGACCAATGCATCTATGGAAAAATGTTCAATTTCCCTGGCCATCGGAGAAATGCAAGTTGAAACAACACTGAGATTTCCATTTTAGTCCACAAAGAATGGCTACCATCAAGAAATCAACCAAGAATAAGTATTGGTGAGGCTGTGTCTTCTTTTCTTATTGGGGAGACAAAATGTCTGACAAAGTTAAGTTAAGGTTAAAAAGTTTGTTTCGCCTATAATTTGTTGAGGTTTCAGCTCATAACTGGCTGGTTCCAAGGCTGGTTGGTTGGCCAGAGAACAGTTCATGGTGCAGAAGACAAAAGAAAGCAACGAGGAGGAGAAAGCTAAGCCTCCTTCTGTCCCTTATATTGTATCCAGTTTACTAGTATTGGGGTGGTGCCAATCCAGTCAGCGGACTGATCCAGGAGGCACCCACCCTTAATCTCAGCATTGCACTATGAATCAGTCATGCACTCTAGATTCAGCCACCTCTGATAAAACCCTGTGACTGTATGAGGTTTTGAGAAGATATACAGACACAAACCATAAGAGGCTGTAAACTGATAGACCCACTGTAGAGATTCTTAAAGAAAAAAAAAAGGGTAGAAGTTTCATTTGACATAGCTATTTCTCTTCTAGGTGTTTTCCCAAAAGAATTCAAGACATTATACCACAGTGATACATGCATACCCATGTTTGAAATAGTGCAATTCACAGTAGCTAAATCCTACAAATATGTTACATGTCCATCAATAGATGAATAGATAAAACAATGTGATATTTATGTACAATGGAATACTACTCTGCCATAAACAGATAAAATCCAGTCATTTGTAGGGGAAATGGATATACCTTGAGATCACAGTGTTAACAATGTAACTAAGGCACATAAATTTAAATGACATGATTTTTCTTATATGAAAAACTCTCCTTGTGTCTGTCTCTGTCTTTGTCTCTGTCTCTGTCTCTCTCGATCATGACCTCACACTTGCCAGGCAGGTGCTGTGCCTCTAAGTTTTATCTCTGGCCCAAACATAAGTGATTATTCCCCCCCTCAATTTTTATGGGTACCGGGAATCAAATTCAGGACCTCATGCTTGCCAAGCAACATTGCACCACTAATCCATATCCCTGGCCCCTATAATGTCTTATAAGATAAAAAAAAGAATTGGATGGTGGAAAAATAAAAGGGGGATAGAGGGAAAGGAGAAAGGAATTGAAATACATATCTACCAATTTCATACAATGAACGTTATAATTATGTTCTGAAAATGTATTGATAAAAGTTAAAAAAAGATTTTTTTGCTTGTACTAATTTATCTTGGCAATCTTTTTATGCCACTGCATGCTTTTCTACTACAAAAACCACTTCCATAGTATTCTATATGATGGCTGTCCTTATTTATTTAGCTTTCTACCATTCTTGGTTTTATATTTGCCCTAATATGTGACAGGGAATAGTCTTGTGTAAAAATTATGGGATACAATTTTAGAAGCAGACTAGCAGATATAAGAATATGCACAATAAAGCCTTGATAAATACTGAAAAATTATACTTTGAAGGGTGTTATGATTTACAATCTCATTAATAGAGTCTGCTTCCTTACATCTTATCAAAATAAAGTATTGTTCTGACTTTTCATTTACACTTACTGGATAAGTTAAGAGATAGGACTCATTGAAATTTTTGCACATTCCTAGCTACAGTGGAATTTCAGCATATTTGAAAATAATTACATATTTTTCTGTGAGTTCCCTTATCTATATTTAGTAGATTCAGTTTTCAGTTCTTTTAGTTATCAGGGATCTTTTATACTGGTTAGTAACTATTTACTAAAGATGCTGGAGATATGCTTTTTAGTTTCTCAGCTTTGACTTTTATCTTGAATTATGCTCCTCATTATGCAAAATGTTTGAACATTATCATATACAGCCGAATGCTTCAACTTTATGGCTTTATGTGTTTCTTTATATGGGTTCTTTAACGTTAAAGCATAAAGCTCTCTAAATGCTACATTTCCCTAATATCTATATTATTATTACTTTTACTTTATAGCTATTAATGGGGCAGTGTGATAATTTGAATTATCATAATGTAATAGTTGTGATAATTGTACATATAATAAAAATTGATAAATGTATAATGTGTAATGATCTGATCAGATAAATTATCATTTCTGTCTTTTTAAACAGTAAAAACTTATTATGCATATATTTATGGGATACAATGTACTATTTCGATACATGTATATAATGCAAACTGATCAAATCAGGGTCACTAGTAATTTTACCTATGTAGTTTTAAGTGTGTTATTGAGCGTGATTCTTAATCTGTTTGTAAATAACTAGCCTGTTAGTCCAACATCATTTATTGAATTGTTTGGCCTTTCTTTCAAATTCGATATATCACCTGCTTTATCTTTTCAGGTTAATCTTTTTCTATTCATAACCAGTACCATATTACTCCTGATATTTAGAATGATCGAGCAAGCTCTTCCTCATTAGTCCTCGTTATAAAATTGTACATGGTATTTTGTTTCATTTGAAGATATCCTTTCAGGGTCTTCATTGGGAATTGTATCATATTCATATGAAAGTTTACAGAGAAGTGATAGATTTTCTATTGCATCTTTCCATCCAGAAACATAGTTTGCCCTTCTATAACTTCATAGAAGTTTCATAGGAACTTTCATATTTTCTGTTGTAAAAGCTTAGAGAAACCTTTTGTTGTATTATACGTCTCATTGGATTATAAACGTATTATATATCTCATTGGATTATAAATGTATTTTATATCTCATTGGATTATAAATGTATTATATATCTCATTGGATTTGATTATGAACATATAAATTTCTTTGTTACAGTAGAACCTTTACATTTATTATAATTGGTTATTTGAGATACTAAATGAGATTACTTCTTCCTTGATCTTGTGTTTTCTAAATTATTTATTAGTAGAGTCTCCTTGGTATACTAAATGGATAATTTTCTTTTTTTAGTGCTGGGTGTTCAACCAGGGCTTCATGTATGTTAAGTATGTGTTTTACCACTGAGCTGTACCCTGTAACCTCTAGACTACTCACACTGATAACAATCGTTTAGTCTTTCTGTTTTCAATATTTGTACTAATTTTTCCCCACTATTTTAATTTTTTAAAAATTTCATGTAATAGCTATTTTTTTGAGTTAGAAGTCTTGTTTTGATGATAATTTTCTAAATACTTAGGGTTTTTTAGGTATAAAAATACTTAGCATCTGTGCTTGACAGTATATGTTAAACAGGCATTTAAAGTTTTTTTTTTTTTTTTTTTTTTTTTGTAATACCAGGGATCAAACTCACAACCTCTTCTTTTGAAACATATTTTCTCCGTCTATATGAGAATCCCTATTGGTCTGCAAGTTGGTGCAAAACTCCAGTTCTTCATGGTAACTTCTCAGGTGATGGTAAAAATGTGATTTGGTGTTATGGTAGCTTGACTTCTAAAAATAAGCTCCCGGATACCTCTGAACTCACAAGTGCTTTCCTTCTTATTTTTTATTTGTTTTGTTCCATAGTCATCCCAGTAATCTCAAATTTCCAAGTTCTTAGGATACTCATAATTCTGATTAGGGGAAAAAATAAGACTTTGGTTTTGTTTTAAATAATTACAAGATGCTGCCTTTGTAATTACTAAAATACTTCTATGAGTGCTATTATTTAGTTAATTACCTAAGACATTGTATTGTTGCCCACCTTCCTTTGACCATGAATCTTTTCCTGGGGTTTTACTGGGTAAAACCATTATGTTTTATTTGTCTACTACAAAGCCTCTGAGTGAAATCTGGACTCTTACTCTAGTCTACAGATTTTATTTGTTGCACTATTTGGATATGTTTTATTTATCTGCTGACATTGATTCCTTTACAATTTCGAGATTTGATAATCTATTACTTCTAAAAATCCCGAATATCCTGACATGCTGGAAAACCTTACTTCCAATGCTGTTATGCATTTTCTAATTTGTTTCCTTTGTATCTGATTTATTTGCACACATACTATATGTTGTATTTTTAAAAATCAATTCTTATTCTTGGTTAAGGATGTTGTAATCTAGTTCTATTAATCCACTCGAGAACTGAATAGAAATGGGATAGAAAGTAACTAAATGCAGCATCTTGTAATTATTTAAAACAAAGGTTTATTTTTCCTCACTCTGTAAGGTTTCGTGTTAGTTTTTCATTGCTGAGACACAATACGGATGCCCACAATTTAAAGGAGGAAAAACTATTAATTGACTCAAGAACCTAACAGAAAGTGGATAAGAAATAATCATGAACAGCATCTTATTATTATTATTTAAAATGAAGATTATTTCTAACTATATAATGCTTTGTCTTATTTACTTTCTCATTGCTGAGACTCAATGCCCCACACTCACAATTTAAAGGAGCTGAGGAAAGGAGCTGGTTCACAGTTTTTCGAGGTTTCACTCAATAGTCAGCTGGCCCCAAGGCAGGGCAGCATGGCAGAGAGGAATGGCAGAGGAGAGCAGAAGCAGAGATGGACATCAAGGAAGGAGGAAAATGTACCCTCCCAGGCAGTGCCCCCAGTGAGTCAGCGTCTCATTCCATGCTGCACCTCCCGACATTACACTCAGGTATACATTCATCAGTGGACTAATCTATACTGATGAATATCACATCCCCATTATCCAATCACTCTCCTAAAGCTTCACATATGATCACATGAGGCTTTGGGGGGCCATTCTGCTACCAACCGTAACAGGCTTATACAATGCATGAAAAATGGGTGGAGGAAAAGCATTATTCTTAATTCAGTCATGGTAGTTACCGTTAATATTTAGATACAATAACTTTTAGGCTTCTAATATGTGTTTTAAAATTGTGATTGTATCCTTTATAGCATTGTGTATTTATTTTTTCAATTACCAGTTTGTTTTATTTTTAAATTTTATTTTGAAAGCAGTAAAAATAGAACAAGACAGAACAAAGCCAATCGACACAATGCAGTGAAATCAGTACAGATCTTGAGAGTAGGGTACTAGGATGGTAGTAATAGGTACTATGGTATATCTCGTTATCTTCACAATAGTTGTCCAGTCAATTAGGTATAGTGAAATCAAACCAAAAAGAGAACATTATAAAACCAATTGAGAGTACTGAATAGAGCAAAAGAAACATAACAAGTGAAAACAACCTTTGCCTTCAAACAGAAGATAGAAGGAAATCCCCATATTTGCTATATTGCATATGGTCATGCTCCCAAGAGATGCTGAGACATCTATCCCCAGTAGTTACAGGGGGGCAAGGTTTGATTCTCAGCCCGCGCTCAGCTAGGTTCACGGGAGCTGCTGGTTCTCTTCCTGGCAGAGACACTTCTAATTACCAGTTTAACAGCTTTCTTTATCATTAGAATGACTCATGGTTAAATTGTTATGAGTCAGCTATGATGGGCACATGCCCGTAAGTCCCAGTTATTCCAGAGGCTGAGATGCAAGGATCACTTGAGCCCGGACATTCAGGGCCAATTTAGATAACACCTTGGGATCACAACTCAATAAACAAAGAAAATAGAACAACAAAGTACCCTACAAAAATCTTAAATACTATGACATTGGATTAATTTGATGTCTGGCTCCTTTATTTTTTTAAGAAGGAACTTTTATTGCACACATTATTTACAGTTTTGACATGATTAAGTACAGGATAAAATACACGGGCCCTAAATGACTCTGTTAGTGAGTTTTCATAAATGTTTATATTCAAGCAGTGATGTGTGTGAGATGTTAAATGAAGCCGGTGGTTGTTGCTTGATGGAGTCATAGTAGATGGAATCATGTCTCAGTCACTCTTCTGTTTTTTTCTTTTTCCTAAGAGACAGTGGTACCTCAGGTTACATGGGCTCTAAGCCTCAGGGCCCTGGGTTCCCTTCTCTCTTGTTCTAGTTTACTAATGGAGCTCTTGTTCATTTCATTTCTCTGGGTTTCATTTTTTCCCTCTCTTTTCATTCTCACTTATGTATTTAAGCCTTCTTAAACAATTGTAGAAGATTCATATCATTCTCCCTACCTAAATTTATCTGGCCCTTGGTTGCCAGCTCAATCATCCCAGAACATTGAGCCTCAAATATTGCTGCTAGAAATATTTTAAAGGGATTTTAATGAACCTTGATCTTGACATTTATGGCTTTCCATTCTCTTTCAGTCTTATTTTTCATTATCTCTTTCATCACGTCAGCCAACTACTTGTCATCTTTGTATTTAACACAATTTTCTGTTACTCTGTGCTTTACTTATAATCTTGCCTTTTCTAGAATGATTTTTGCTCCTCTATGATTTAATATTCTAAATTTTACCTATCCTTCAAGATCCAGTTTAAATGCAATTTCTTTCACAAAACTTTCTCTGTTAGTTCTTGCAAAATAATCTTTCCTCTGAGTCATTACAGTGCCTTATTATATATTTTGTTTTGAATATTATTTTCTACATGGAATTGTAATTCATTGTCTGTCTCAATTTCCTTCCTGAATGAGAATTTCCTTGAGAGAAAATTCCCAGTTTTAAAATTTTCACTTTTTCAAGACTTGCATATAGCAAAATCTCAGTAAATAAATACTTGTTGGAGAAAAGATTTGAGATCTGAAGCAAAAGATATTACTTACTCTAATTATTGGGAAAATATGTAGCATTGTGTTTTGCAAATCAACTTTATACATTGAGACAAATGGCACATTGGTTTAAGAGGTTAAATCATTGATGTATTTCTATGGACTATTCTGATGTATCTTCCAGGTCACCTCTGGGTTGAGATAATGCAGATGTTTTAGAACTTAAAATAGAGACACTTAAGTCAATAGGAAACAATTCTGTTACTGCTGCAAATGTATACAAAATGGAATTAGCACATATCTGTGACATGTGATTTATATAGTGAATGTTTAAATAAAGGATGTATTGCAGTGAAAAGACTGCTATTAATCACCTCAAAATTCTCCACTTCAAACATAGTTATCCTGGTGGGGCTGGGGATTTTTAGCTCAGCGCGTAAGCGCCCTCCTGGCAAGTGCGAGGTCATGAGTTCAATCCCTGGTATTAAAAACAAAACAAAACAAAACAAAACAAAACAAAACATAGTTATCCCATAATTGCTGCCACTTGTGAAGCAGTCCTAGAAGTTCTCTTTCAGGAGTATGCTTATGAGGTGTGATTAAAAATAAGTGCATGAGTGCTATCGAAAGGACGGGCAACCGTATAAAAACATTACAGTGTATTCTCCACATCATTCACCAGATCTGACACTCTGTGACTTCTGGATCTTCCCTAAAGTTGAAATGACCATGAAACATGAAGGTTTTAAATGAGGCCATCTATGCTATCAAAACACTGCAAGTAAAGACTTTAATGGAACAAGAGTTTCACAACTACTTCTGGAAGCGGTGAGAATGATGGGATAAATTTGTTTGAAATGAGAGAGTATTTTGAAGCAAATGAACGACATGATGTCCTTTATAATAATAAAAATTTAAAAATTTATACAGTCACTGTATTTTTCAATCATGTCTTGTGTAGTTCTTCAGGCATATTTAAGGTCATATTTCTATTGGCTTGACCTCGGTTGACTATGAGTAGACTTTTTAAGTAAGTATTAAAAATCACAGAGTTCTATTTTCTCATATGCTTAAATGGTAGATTTTAAGGTTAGAGTCCATTCTTTAGGATGATTTTATATTTGCAAATGTGTGTGTGCACATACTTCATATGTTATACAATCATATTGGTGAAATTGTTTTTTTTTAAATTTTATTTAAGCAGAAAAAGAAAATAAAGCAGAAAAAGGGTACAAGTTATACAGAATTTCAGAAAAAAAATAAACAGTAGGAAATCACTAGTTAATGGATTACATATTGTCAAAATTAAAGCTTATATAGTGGACATTCAAACAGTGAGACCAAACAGTTCTGTTCAATGATCCAACAAAACTCAGTAATATCATTGTCTATCTTATACATTTAAATATACATGCAGTTATATCATTTAGAGCACTTTCTTTTCCTCTCTTTTGTACAATGACTATTACACATTTTGGGTTTTATTGCTCCCACAGTTCTTATTACTTTTTTTGGTAGAGAGAAAACCAAATGTTACATAACAGAACAGAGTCGGTCAAATCAAAAGGGTGGACATAATAGATAATGTAAAAACACAATACAAGGTGATCAACAATGGTTACCATAATGCCTCTTGCTATCTCTAATAGAGTTGCCTATATCATCAGTTATAATAAAATTGAACAAAACAGTAAAGAACGAAACCAACAAAACCAAAACATTGGAGACATTACAGGTCTTCAAAAGTAGATAATAGTCAACCAGAATGGGCGTCCTAATGAATCCCACTATCTTCACAGCTATTGCCTAAACTTTCGAACCTGGTACTATC